TCCTTTTCACCCCCCCCCCCCCCCCACCACCACCACCACCACACACACACACAAAGACTCCACCTGTAAAGATGGAGTGGCTGCGTGACGACTCCATGTTCATCTCGTGGCTGCCCACCCGGCGGTGCCGCACCGCCAGCGACAGCACCTGGCAGAGGCAAGAGAGGGCAAGCCGGCGGGGGTGGGAGTCGCAGCCCGCGTGGCGCGACGCCCCCGCGGGCAAGCGCCAGCAGTGGCAGCCGCTGGGCAGGGGATGCGACCGCTCCAGCATCCACACCTGCAGCGCCTCCTCTAGCGTGCCGCACTCCTTGCAGGCCAGGTCTGGCATGTAGAAGCCCCTGCCGGTGTCCCACCGCACCTGCAGGCAGAGTCAGGCGGGCAGGCAGGCAGGCAGGCAGGCAGGCAGGGCCTGGGCGCGCCATGGCTTTTTCCTGCGGCGTGCCCGCTCGCCTTCTTGCAGCCGCCTTGCACCTTTCCGACCTTGCCACCGCGATCCCCTCGCCCCCCGCCAGCCCGCCCACTCGCCTGCAGCTGCTTCTTGTCGAAGCGTATGAGGTCGTACACCTGCTCCATGTAGATCTCAGCCATGGACACCCGCAGCGAGTAGCGGCAGCCGTCGCCGCCCGCCCCGCCCGCCCGCTGCTCCAGCGCCTGCAGCACGGCAGGGCAGGGGCGGCATGGTGCACTGTGAGATCACATGCCATGCACTGCTGGTAAAGACAGGCGAGATGCCTTCCACCAGGCTGAGCAGGTGTGGGAGGTGGTGGCGTGGTACTGCCAAGCGGTACCAGGGCGGTACCTGGAAGAGGTACATCAGGGAGCGGGTGATGACGCCGTCGTCGCTGTCCCCCATGTAACCCTCATCCAGCAACGCCTCCTCCCTCCCTGCGGGAGCGATGAACTCTAGCGCTTAGACGGCGGCGGGCGCGCGGGCACGGCAGGGGGCCGGGGGCGGGGCCCGTGCATGCACCGAGCGGCGGCGCGAGCGCTGCCGAGGCCTGGCCGCAGCAGGGTGTGCCGGCCGGGGCCCGGGGCAGCGGCTGAAGCAGCAGCGGCCCCCCTCACCGCTCATGGTGTACGTCTTGCCGGAGCCTGTCTGCCCATAGGCCAGCACGGTGCAATTGTAGCCATCCAGGGCGGCGTCCAGCAGCTGGGTGATGCCGCACAGGCGCAGCACGTCCTGCAAAGGCCCGGGTGGAAGAGCGTGCAGCAGAGACTGAGCGGGTCGGGGTGCTGTGCGGCAGGGGGCGTTCGGCGGCGGGGGGTGATGCAGCGAACAGGCAGCACATTCTGCCGCAAAGGTTGGCAAGCGGGTGATGGGCGGTGGCGGGGAGCTGGGCAGGCACAAGTTTGGGTGGGCGGCCAAGCGGGCGGGCGGGCAGGGGGGAAGGCAGGCAGGCAGGCAGGCAGGCATCACAGGCGTGGCCGTTCGGCCGGGCAGGGCGCGACATTGCGTACCTGCTGGCGCGAGGCCGGGTGCAGGCAGGCGTGGAAGGTGAAGTTCCGGGTGACTGCCTGGCTGTTGCGCGAGTAGGCCGAGGGCACCGTCAGCTGGACCTGCAGGCAGGCAGGTAGGCAGGCAGGCAGGCAGGCGGGCGGCCGGACGGGGAGGGGCTGCGGGGATTGCGTGCAGGGCCAGGGTGATGCCACATGGCCCCGGCTGTCAGCGCCTGACGCAGGTGCCTGCACCCTCTGGCCAGCACCCGCCGGGGCTGCTGCCGGAAGAAAGCTCGCGGCAGTCTGCCCTTCTCAAGCAGGTTGCCACGCAGCACTGGGCTACCCCATGCTGCTGCCCAGCTACCCCCCAACACACATACATACCTGTCGGTGGTCGGCTGGGTTGACAAAGACTGCCTGCGCGTCGCCCCGAGCCAGCTCCTGCGCATTGGGCGGCCGCACCCGCACCGCCACCTGCGGGCAACCAGGCAGGCAGGCAGGCAGGCGGGCAGTCTGCACCTCCCAACCCTAGCCGCTGTGCTCTCAACCCTGGCCTCCACCCAGTGCGTAGACGCAGACACATACACACACAACAGCCACACACACACACACACCACCCACCTTTATGTTATCGTACTCATCCAGTTCTGGCTGGGCAGCCTGCGCTCCGCCAGCAGAGCCAGCCGTCCTCCTGCCCGCCGACCCCGCCTTGCTCCCGGCCTTGGCCGCGCCTCCGCCAGCCCCCGCAGCAAAGGAGCCGGCGCCGCCGCCGCCAAAGTATCCCACCGGCGTGCGCTCGCCGCTGCGCCGTGCGGGGCTGTTGCTGAGGTCCACAGAGCTGCGCAGGCTGCCGGGGAGGCTGCCCGTGCTGCCAGAGCGGGGCAGGCCTGCCCGAATTGGGGCCGGCACTTGCGAGGCCAGAGGCTCCATGAGGCTGCCTCCGTAGGAGCTTGCCCCAGCATGCCCCATCACCGTCGCCGACTGCACTCGGCTTCCGGGGGCGCTGCCGCCGCCGTGGGGCGCCCGCAGCGGGGTGGGGGAGCCCGGCGACAGCGAGTCTGGCAGCACGACGCCGGGCGGCGGCGCCACCAGGGCAGCCATGCCCGGCGGCGGCGGCATATGCAGGAAGCCCATCTGCTGTGGGAGCAGCATGCCTGGGGGCCCCGGGTAGCCCGGCGTCGGCGCCAGTTGGCCGTTGCTGAGGGAGCGCTGCAGGGGGTGCATGGGTGTGTTGGCTCCCGACCCCGCCAGGCTCTTGGGGGTGGCATGCCCAGACCTGGCACCGGCATGCATGGGCGAGGGAGGCTGCTGCATCATCGACGGCAGCAGGATGGGCGGCGGCGGGCCGGGCATGTACTGTGGCTGATAGCCCGCGGGCGCCATGCCTCCCATGGCCATTGCCAGCGGCGGCGGCAGCGGCCCGCCAGGCCCCATCATGCGCCGTGGCGGCTGCATCGGGAAGGGCTGCTGCATGGGCCCCGCCGGCGGGCCGTAGGCGGGCTGCCGCCCCGCGCTGCCGGCACGCTGCGGCGGCGCCATGCCAGGCGGCAGCGGCATGGTGCCTGGTGCTGCCATTGGCGCCGTGTGCAGCGCATCCCCCGGGAAGCGTGCCAAGCGGATGGGAGGCTGCGCCTGCGGTAGAGGCGGGTACATGCCTGGCGGCGGCAGCTGTGGCGGGTAGTCGCCCTGGCCCATGCCGCTGTAGGGCCCATGGGGCGGGGGCATGCCGCCAGGGCCACCCATCATGGTCTGCTGCTGAAGCGACGGATACATGGCAGCCTGCACACACACAGAAACCCTCCAGGAGGCGGTGCTTGGTGGGCAGTGGTGTGGCGTTGGGCGGCCGTGTCGCCAGGGCTCGCCGCTTGCCTCAGTGGATCTCCACCCTAATTGGGGGCCGGACCCAGCCTTATTGCATCGGGAAGCGGCTCCTGGTGTGGTCTCGGTGGTCAACCCAGTGAATGGGCCCTTGGCCAGCTCGCTGCCAATGACCCAAGGATTCCTGAATGCTGATGCGTTCAACAAGGCGACCAGCGCCCCAGAAAGCCGGCCATGGCCGGAAGAAACCCGCAGCACGAGACTCGCTTTGCCTCCTGGCCGCCGCGCCTGGCAGCGCAACCGATCAAAATTTCCCCAAAACGGCGTCATGAGTGGGGACGGGGGCTTCCCCGGCGTGAGGAGGTGCGCACCCCGCTGCTGCCTGTCCCTGCCGAGCGATCCTGAGACTGTGATCGTGCGTGTTGACGCCTGTGATCCTCCTGCTGCAGCCTGTTCCGAGGGAAGGGCTTCCCGGGCACCGTCAAGCTGTCCAGAAAGGGGCAGCCCGAGCAGCAGCAACAGCAGCAGCAGCAGCCACCCGCAGTCGATCCCAGAGACCCGGTAGCAGCGGCGCAGGATGGGGTGGCGGGGCTGACGCTGAAGAGCAAGCCCATGGTGGGCGCCGCTGCCGCCCGCCGATTGGCCGCCAGCCGCAACTGACTGCTGCCTTGCACAGCGCCCCGCTTGCTGTCTCATCTTGCCTGTGCCCAGCTGGAACACTGCGTTGCATTCCACTTTGTAGGACGCTGTGAGCAGCAGCTCGCCGCCGCCGCCGCCGCCGGCCAGCAGCGGCAGCGGCGCGCCGCGGCCCGGCAGCGGCAGCAGCAGCGGCGCCGCCGGCAGCTCGCGGCGCACGTCTTCGGCAGAGGAGGGCGGCGGCGGGCAGGCGGCGGCGGCGGACCAGCAGGAAGGGGTGCAGGTGTCGCAGCTTCGCAGCATGAGCAGCACACGAGTCACCAAGTTTAAGCGCCTGCTGGATGAGCAGGTAGGGGCGCAAGCAGCCCGAGATTGGTCGCTACCTAGTGCTGCACCCGGCTGCCGCCAAGCCCTGCCCACTTGCCTGCCAGCCCTCCATACCTTCCTGCCTGCGTGCCTGCAATGCGTGTAGGTAGTGGACTTGGAAGCGCTGCGTGAGATTGCGTGGAGCGGCATCCCGCCCGCCCTGCGCCCCGTCTGCTGGCGCCTGCTGCTGGGCTACCTGCCGCCCAACCGCGAGCGGCGAATGCAGGTGCGCGTTGTGTGCCGTGACCACGGCGGTCGGGGCAGCGCCGTGCGCGGTTAGCAATGCCAGCAGCAGCAACAGGCACCCTCCCTGCCTGCAGCCTGCCGCTGAAGCCAAGGTGGCACCGTTTCCCGGCGGCGCCCCTCCCTGCCTCACGCCCCGCTGCCCACCGTGCAGATCCTGGCGCGCAAGCGGCGCGAGTATCGTGACCTGGTACCGGACTATTACGAGCAGGCCGCCTCGGGGCAGGACCAGAGTGGCGAGGAGCTGGGCGCGCTGCGGCAGGTGGGGCCGCGGGGCCGTCGACCAGGCTGGGGCGGCTGGTGCCTCCCTCCCTCTCATGCGCACATGCGCACCCACACGCGGGCACGCCGCCCTGCAGGTGGCTGTGGATGTGCCGCGCACCGCCCCGGGCGTCGCCTTCTTCCACCAGCCCCAGATTCAGAAGTCACTGGAGCGCATCCTGTACATCTGGGGCATCAGGTGCGCTGTACGCCGCCCAGCCGAGGCCCTGCTCGCGTGCAGGCCTGCTCAGCCTGCCGGCTTGCAGGGCAGCAGGTCCAGCTTGCAGCATCTGGGACGGCGGGGCCGCGCACGCCAGCAACAGCCCGCCTGCGGCCTGCCAATGGCAGTCGCGCACACACCTGCTGCCGCCACCCGCCCTGCCCAGGCGCACCAGCCAGCCAGCCACCGCGCTCCAACCCACCACCAACCCACCACCAACCCTCCTGCCTCGCCTGCCGCAGGCACCCGGCCAGCGGGTATGTGCAGGGCATCAACGATCTGGTCACGCCTTTCATGTATGTGTTCATGGGCGAGCACATGCAGGGACCGCTGGAGGGGTGGAGCGTGGCGGGGCTGGCCGACACCGTGCTGCTCGACGTGGAGGCAGACTGCTACTGGTGGGTGGAGGTGTGGCCCCGCTGGTATGGTGGCAGTAGAGTGGGGAGTGTGTGTGTCTGTCTGTGGTGTGGGTGGAAGTGGTGTGGGCACACACGCGCACGCGCACACGGTCCTGCCGATCCCGCTGGTACCGCAGGTGCCTGTGCAAGCTGCTGGACGGCATCCAGGACCACTACACCTACGCGCAGCCCGGCATCCAGCGCTGCGTGTTCCACACGCAGGAGCTGGTGCGGCGCGTGGAGGAGCCGCTGGCGGCGCACCTGGAGGCCGAGGGCCTGCAGTTCATCCAGTTTGCCTTCCGCTGGGTCAACTGCCTGCTGCTGCGGGAGGTGCCCTTTGCGCTGTCCATACGCCTGTGGGACACGTACCTGTGCGAGGGGTGAGCTGCCGCGGCTGCGGCAGGAGCAGGGTCCGGGGCCGGGGCCGGGGCCAGGGGTAGCTGCCCCGTCTCTTTGCGGCGACCGCCTGTGGTGCCGCGGGCTGCGCGGCTGTGTGTCGCCTAGCCGTGCTGCCTCGCCTCCTGCTGCTTGAGCTGGCCAGCTGCTCCCCTGACTGCCAGCTGCTGCTCACCGCCCCGCTGCAGCTCCCAGCTCCGTGACTTCCTTGCATACACTCTGGCCGCCTTCCTGCTCAGGTTGGGCAGCCAGCCGGCCCTGCATGTGCCGCTCGCCAGGCTTCATTTCCCTGCCTGCAGCCTGCTGTGACTTTTGGCCCACCAACCCGCCAGTCTTTTGCTCCACCGCCCGCCCCACACCGGGCACACATGCTGCTCTCCCCTGCTGCAGCTGGAGCTCGCAGCTGCAGCAGCTGGAGTTCCAGGAGCTGATCATGTTCCTGCAGAAGCCGCCCACGGCTGCCTGGAGCGAGAAGGACATTGAGATGGTGCTGTCGCGGGCCTACATGTGGCGCGTCTCCTTCAAGGGAGCGGCCTCCCACTTTCTGTAGCGGCCCGGCGGCAGCGGGCAGGCAGATGCATGGTCGGCCCCTTCTGTTGTTTGGCTGGCCAGAGCTGTGCTGGAATGCTGGTTGCGCCAATGGGCATCTTCATTCATTGTCTTACTGTACAACAGTGCAATTGTGGGCATCAAAAAATGGTGGAGCCATGGCGCGCCCATTCATAAGCCAGTTGGTTGGGTGTGGGGCCCGCAAGTGCCGAGAAACATGTTCGCTAGGGGGATGCGCTAGATTGGGGTTTGAGTCGTACAGTACCATGGCATTGTAGTCGCGTAAACTTCGGCAGGGGAGGGTGCAAGGCCCTGTCACGCAAGCCAGCTGGCAGCACCGCTTAGTGCATGGGATGCACCACCGGCGGGGCGTAGTACATTGCAGGTGGCTGCTGGATCACGATCACTTCGGGCCGCTCTGAGGAGGTCCGAGGGCAGCCGCAGCAGCAGCGGCAGGGGCAGCTGCAGCAAACACAGGGGCCGCGGGAGAGGGATGTGAAGGGATGTGATGCACATCCCGATGGGAGAGGGTTGTGACGCACCCTGATGCACATGAAATATTGTTAACGCAACACAAAACGCACAAGTGCACACACAAACACACACACACACACACACACAAAATGCCCCCAAATGCACTACACTCACCACATGAAGATGAGCAAGCAATCAACGACATTGGTGAGAATGTTGCATGGCAGGCTGCAGCGGGAGTACGGCAGGCACACACGCGCATGAGTAAGCTCTTGGGCAAACCAGTGTGAAACGGCCAGCCAAGAAAGAGTTCATGGCATGTGTGCTGGAGAGCAGGATGCTAAAAGAAAGCGGCTGCTTGTCAACGCCACAAGTCCTTCGAACCACGGCAGCGGCGCTGCCGGCGCCCTCCCGCCAAGCAGCAGGCATGGGCAGCTGCGCCCTCACCAGCACACGTCGTCGCAGCACGTCATCTTGCCGGAACGCTGGGGCAGCTGGGGCCGGTTCGGCGGGCACGACCCTAGGGCCCTAGGGCGGCTGCAGCGGGACTCGGCTGTAAACTAGCGTAGATGCTCTCTAAAACAGCCTGAACACAGCCCAACCGCGCTGGCTAGCAAGGATGCGCCAAGTTTGCAGCCTGCATGTAGGCATTTTTTGGCAAGCTAGAAAGTTGTCGGAACTCATGATGGCCAGATGCCGTATGCAGTGCTCATGCGCACTCATTGGAGCTCTGCAGCGCACCATGACGCCTGCGGTGGAGTCGCAGCTTCGCCACCTGGCTGCAGCCAGTTTGTGTTGAGCTCAGCTCGCTGCCTTGAACAGTGCCGTCCAATTTGCCAACCTGCCACCAAACTGCACTCTCAGCTAGCTTGGCGCTCTCCTGCTTCAAACTGGCAATGGGCAGCGTGCGGTCAGAAGCAGCAGGCGGCGGCTATCCTTCCGCGCTGCTGTCGAGGAGCCATACGTTGGGCTCCAGCCACTGGCTGACGGATGCCGCTTGGCTGGGGGGCCTGATGGTGGCGGCCGGCGCCGCCTGGCGGGGACTGGCGGCGCACCACCCAGCCGTGCGGCTCCTTGCGACCGGCTACCTGGCTGTAGAGGGGCTGTTCTACCTTTGGAGCAAGCTGAGGTGTGTGTTAGAGGGCTCATGTGACGGCAGAAAGACGAGAAGGTTCCTCTGCTTCCAGCAGTCGCGGCCGCAGTGTGCAGCTGCCGCGCCCGCAGGGCTGGCATCTCACAGCTGCCCTGCCCTGCCCTACGTTGCCTGATGCAGGCTGCGTCACGTGAGCAAGCTGTGGGAGATCGTCCCGGACAGCTCCCGCCTGCCCATCCACTTTGAGCGCTTCCTGCAGCTCCGCGACGTGTTCTGCATCCGCGAGTTCCTGTCTGGCTGGTGAGGCCTCGGCAGCGCGTCGAGCGTGGGATGGGAGTGGCAGCGGCGGCAGCGACCGACGGTGGGAGCAGCAAGCGACGGCGTCGATAGGTGGCAGGCAGCAGCATGAGCGGGCAGCGGTGCGCCAAACGCAGCCTGGTGGGCCGCCCTGCCACCCCGCTTCGGTGCAGGTTCATGGGAGCGCCAGTGGAGACAATCCTGCGGGGCAATGCCGAGGAATTTGTGGCTTACGGCTTCCACTGCCGGGTGCGCTGCTGGCCAGCCTCCTGCATCGCTGGTTTGGCCTCTGCCCGCCCCGTGTTGAGCCTGCCACCCAGGGACACCTGTCGCCGCTGCCACCGCACAAGCAGCACGCGAGGTGGAGCTTTACGGTGGCACCGCCTGCGGCTGCGGCTTGCAGTTGCTGCACCAGCTCAGCGAGCCCGAGCAGGCCAACATCCGGGGCTTCTTGGATGATGTGGAGCGTGCCTGGGGCTTCCGCTTCGCGCCGGGCTACGATCCTCACCTCCCCTTCATGTGTCACCTGTGGGAGCCTCTAAGGTGTGGCCCTGCTGCCTTGCCGGGATGGGCTGCCTACCTGCTGGCATGACTCGTGCCCCTTGTAGAGAAGGCAGCTGGCAGGCTGCTCGCTGCCTGCCCACGTCAGGTGCCACCCCACGGCCTGAACAAAGGTGCTGCTCCACTGTGCAAAGATGCTGCTCCACCTGCTGCGCCCTGCTGTGCCGCAGGGCGTACCACAAACCGCTGGTGCTCTTTGCCCTGACCGAGCTTGCGGCTCGAACGGCGCATGTGCTGATGTGGCTCATGGGCTTCCGGCCGGGCCACGAGGGCGGGTTCAGCTGCTGGCATGCGCCGCCGCTGTCGCCCACGCCGCCAGGCGCCGCGACGCTGTCGCCGCCCATGTCTCCGGTCGGGGCGCGGCGGCCGCCTGGGCTCAGCTTGAGGCGGCACAGCACGAGCGAGGCGGTGGCGGGGGTGGTGCACCATGCGGCGGAGCACGCACTGGATGCCACCCTGACGGTCACCAGTGCGGCGGCCGCGGTGGTGGCGGCGCAGCACCCGCACGGCGGCCCCGCCCCGCTCTCCCCACGCCCTCAGTCCCCGCTCTCGCCTCGGTCACAGTCGCCCCTCTTCGGCCCTGCTCCCTCGCCGGCGCCGCAGCATGTGGCCTCCCCAGCGCGGCCGCTGCCCGTGGCTGCAGCGGCAGCAGCCCCAGTGGCAGCGCCGGCGCCGGCGGGCCAGGAGAGTGGCGCAGCGGTAGCAGCGGCGGTGGCGCAGCCGCAGCAAAGCCGCCGGCGCAACAAGGGCGACTCTGCCACCGACTTTGCGGGCGCGCTGCTGGTGGAACCAGCGGCCGCAGATCCTGCAGAGGCTGCGGCACCGGCGCCCGCGGGGCCCGCACCGGCAGCAGCCAGCAGCCCCGCCGACAGCGCATCCAGTGGCGCTGGCTCCGGCTCGGGCGGGGCAGCAGCAGCCAGCCGGGGCGAGGCTGCAGCAGCGGGCGCCACCACCCGCCCCGATGTGCCGGTTGTGTTCCTGCACGGCGTGGGCTTTGGCGTGCTGCCCTACCTGCACCTAGTGCGAGACATGCAGCACGCCTGCGGCGCCACGCCCTTCTTCATGGTTGAGGTGGGCAGGGCTGGGCAGGGCTGCCCCATCTGGGCGCCTGGCGGGAATAAGGGTGCCAACCTGGGTAGCGGCCTGCTGCTGCTGCTGCTTCTGCTGCCGCCGACGCGCGGCTGGTGGCGAGGGGTCCCCTATGTGTAAGGATAGCTAGCTATACATGCTACCTATCATTGCACTCCCGCCGCCGCCCATGCAGGTGCCGCACGTGGCGCTGCGGCTGTGCTGGGAGGCGCGGGACGTGGATGACGTGGCGCACGCTGTGGCCGCCATGCTGGCGCGGCACGGCTACCGCCGCGCCTGCGTGGTGGGCCACTCCTACGGCAGCTTTGTGGCCTCCCGCCTCTGCCAGCTGCACCCAGAGGTGTGCTGGGGCTTGCTGTGTGCTGGGGCTTGCTGTTGCTGGGCAGGCGGGCGGGCTTGCGGGTGTCGGGCGGGCGCCCTGGACGGCCCGCTGCTGCCCTGGACGGCCCGCCGCTGCCCTGGGGCAGCCGCCCTCTCCTTGCTGCTTGTTGCTGCCTCCCAGCACCGCCCCTCAGTTTTCGGAGGGGCGACTTCTCGAGCCCCTCTTCAAGCTCAGCCCTGGCCCTCTGCCGCCCCTCTGTGCCGCAGCTGGTGCACTCTGCGGTCCTGATGGACCCTGTGGCGATGATGACCTGCTACCCACAGGCAAGCCGGGATGGACGAGTGTGTGTTTGGGGGCGTGCTGGAGCCGGCGGGCTTGTATGGGGCGTTGTTGGCTGCAGCAAGCACGCACACATTCACAAACACACACGCGCGCGCGCACGCACACACACGCACACACACACACACACATGCGCCCCCTTGCAGCTGCTGTTCAACTTCATTTACAAGGAGCCCTGCGCCGCCAACTTCACCTCGCTGGCCGGCGCTGTGGACCTGCTGCGCTTCCTGTGCAGCCGGGACCTCACCATAGCGCAGGTGCGGGGTGGCGGGGCCTGGGCCCGTGGGCAGGGCCCTGCGACAAGGCTGGGAGCCGATCGGAGGTTTGGGAGCAGCAGCGCTTTCGGCGGTGCCACTCTTGGCATGGTTGCAGATGGCTGCCCCCGCCCGTTCGCCGCCGCAGGCCATCTGCCGCAAGTTCCAGTGGAGCGAGCTGATGATCTGGCCGCAGGACCTGCCGCGCCGCAGGTACGCTGCCCGCCGCCGCTGCTGCTGGGTATGTCGCCCGATGTTGGCGAGCAGAGCATTCATGCCCACGCGCTTGGCCCTCGCCTCCCGCACCACCACGAGACACACACGCACGTCCGCCCCGCGTGCGCCACTCATCACTGTATCCTGACCCCCCCCCTGCCTGCAGCCTGGTGGTGCTGTCTGGGCAGGACGACCTGGTGCCCTGCGAGCTGGTGATGGCACACCTGAAGCTGACCGGGCACCCAGCCAAGGTGGGGTGCAGCTCAGATCGCATCTCGCGCTTGCACGACCAAGCGCAGCAGCGGCGCCGGGCGTGCTGCGTGAGCGCTCCCCTAGAGCGCTCCCCTTGCGTGCAGCGAATCCAGCCGGGCGCCTTGTCCTTTGCTTTAATGCTGCAGGTGATGCACCACCCAGAGCTGGGGCATGGCGGCATCCTGCTGGATCCAGCATGGCAGGCCCAGTTTGTGGCCAACCTGCGAGCCATGCTGGCCGCCCAGCGCTGACCTGGCGCGCTGACCGACGCATGTCGCGGCCGCGGGCCAGGCCCCCAGCGTCTGCCCTGCCCCACGTCTCCAGGTGTTTCTGACCAGCTCGCCTTCACACGCCTTTTTGGTATGTGGCAGCAGCTCTGGCTGCCGCCACTCACAGGAATTTTGGAGCTCCTGTTGCCGCATTGACAGCATTGTGAATCCTGGCCATCAACAATCTCAAGGCAGCCAGCTGGGGTAATGCGCAAGTCAGGGAGAATCTGTTCAGTATGGGGGCATGTGGCCGCTTGCCGTGGACGACGTGTTGCCGAACCTGCTCAACAGCCTGCTGTACTGTCTGCCCGCTCGCACTCAACGCACGGTATCCTGACAGGACAACTGACATCAGTTGTCCTGTCGTGCCTTCATACCTCCTTTCAAAATGCTTTTGTCACAACCACAAACTCTTGTGCTGCAATCTTGTTCATGCTGAAATGATACTGTACGAACAAGCACAGGCAAACCGCCACCGTTGCCTCGCCTTGCCCTGTCCCCCACGCTTGGCTGCTCACAGGATTTGGGCACCCCTGCTGCACCGACAGGATTGCAAACCGCTCAGAGTTCATCAGGCAGAAAGCAGCTTGGGCATGTCTCCACTGGCGGCACATGCCCTGATGTGGATGCCACAGCGCATGCGCCAGCGGGAGCAGCTTTGCATCCAAGAGCCAGAGCCACACAAACCGAACATCCCCTCCCAGGCCTCTTCCGGAACTGAATTTCGGCCTGTCTCCACGCCTACGATCGTTCACTTGCACGCCAACGACCTCGCTCTCATACCTTACCGAGAATATGGGCGGAGCTGCGGCATGCCTTCGCTTGCTCGCCCTCCTCAGCCTCCTGCTGGCGATTGAAGCTCGCCGCAGGCGGCTTCAGGCCGACGACAGCGTGCAGGCTGCCGTGCTGGGTAGCAGCGTCGCCCGCCCGGCGGGCGCGTTTGTTGCCGCCCTGTACTTCGCTGAAGAGGGCTGGGGATGCACCGGGTCCCTCATTGCCAGCAACGTGAGGTCCACTGCTTGAAACCTGCATGCTGACGAACACAAGCTTGCTTGCCGCCGGCAGGAGCCGGCACCCGTGGTACCGCCCACGGGTGGCAGCTGCCGGCCGGAGCCGCCGTTCCGCTGCTGAGCGTGCCCTGCCCCTTTCTCCCTGCTGCGCCACTCTGTAGGTTGTGGCAACAGCCGCACATTGGTGAGAGATAAGTCCGTGGAGGATTGTAGGAGGCTGGAAAGCTGATCGGCACAGTCGCAGGCGGCCGTCTCTATCCCACCATACCTTCTCTCCTGCTGCCCGTCCCGCAGCTTCTATGATGATGACGACTACTTTTACAAGCCCTCCAAAGTGCGCATCGGGTCTTACGACCTGAGCAAGGCGGGAGGAAAGGACTTCAAAGTGAAGAGTGTCATTGTGCACCCAGGTGGGCAGGCAGCCGGTGAAGGCCTGGGGAGCCTGAAGAACGCTGGCGCCAGCAGCTAATAGAAGAAAGCCGGCAGCGGTAGTGTCCATCCATTTGCCGGCTTGCCTGTGGCTGCCCTAGGGTCGGCAAAGCCAGCCGTGGAGTCCAGACAGGCGGGCCTTACTGTTGTCTCCTCCCGTGCCGCCGTGCGGCCACCCGGGCATGCCTGCATGCACACGTGCAGACTACGCAGACGATCCCAACGGCGAGAGCGACATTGCCCTGATTGTGCTGGCCAGCAAGTCCAAGGCGACACCCATCAAGCTGGCGGCGGCCAGCGCTGCGAAGAAGCTCAAGGATCAGGCTGCTGTGTGGGCGGCAGGGTATAGGTGAGCGCGTGGGTCCGTATAGGTGAGCGCGTGGGCTGCGGCTGGGCCTACCAAGCCAGCCTCAGCTACGGTGCAGCCGCTGACTGGTGGGCCGGCACCCTGCTGGTGCAACGCGGCTGCTTGCTTGTGTGGGCTTAAAGTCTGGTAAAGCAAGAACTAGCTTGCAACATAGACTCCCCGCCGAAACGGGACGGGAACCGGGCGAAAGCAGAGAAAGCAATAAAACAGGGGTGGAGCAAGGCGACATGCAACGCAAGCAGCTGACAGGGCACGCATCGAAACGTGTGTATGACTGGCAAAGTGGCATGGCGCATTGGGGAGAAACGCAACGGTACGGGAGCATGGGCTGGCCAAACGGCAGTGCGGAACGCTAGGTCACTAGAAAAGCAGGGAAAGGCGCACTATGTATGCAATGAGGGCAGCCCCGGCTGTGCCACACACCAATGCCAAGGTGCACGATGGCTGGGCCTGCGCCACCCAAGGCACACCTGCGCCTCCCACCTGTTGCCGGTACCGCCCTCACGCCTGCCTGCAGCGACGGCAACGACTTTACGACCCTGAGGCGCTTCTCCACGCCTTACAACACCCGCGCCACATGCGAGGAACGGCTTGAAGACGACCCCTCCACCACCGCTCGCACCATCTGCACCGGCCCGCCCAGCAAGATGACAGGGCAGGGCGTGTGCGATGGCGACTCAGGTGGGCAGCTGTCAGGACAGCTGCTGCCAGGCCGGATGCGGCTGGCGACCCCAGCGCCCCTGGCTGCCCTGCTCTGCCGGCAGGCTCGGTGGCTTCAGCCCTGAAGGACTGGTGTGGGCTGCGGCGTATGCGCCAGCATCAATCCCGGCACGCTTGATGCCTACTGCCCGTGCAGGGGGGCCGCTCATTCTTGGCTCCAAGCCTCCCTACACCCTTCTGGGCGTGCTGTCCGAAGCCACCCAGGACAAGCTCTGCTCCACCGGCCGCACATCATTGGCCTTTTGGGGCAGCATCGCACACTTCCGCCCCTGGATCGATAACCAGCTGTCAAAGCTGAGATGACTTCACGCAATAAATGCATGGGCGCCTCCAGCGGAGCGCACTGGAGCTGGAGCGGCTGCACCGCGGCGGCGGCGCGGCGGCCAGCCTGGCGTCAGGTGGCGGCGGGCAATTGCCACGGAGCAGGTCGATCGCAGCGCACATTCTGCCATCACGATCTCCTGATACATCACCTGTCAGCTTGCGGTTGCTATTGCTTCGAGGGTGCCGAAGTGGGTCCAAGGGTTTGCGCCGTCTTCCCCTTGTAAGGCAGGATGCCTCCATCGCCCCGCAGCGGATACACCCCGCTACCAGACGGCGGGCTCCCCTCTCCCGACACTGCCGCTTTCGCGCCCCCCTTCCAAGCAGAGCAGCAGCGCAGCGTCTGGGACAGGCAAGCACCGTTGGACAGCAGCCCGTGGAGCGATCCTGGCCGCTGCGCCACCCCAACCCTGTGCGGCCGGGAGGGCGGCGGCGGCGGCTGCCGCTGGCACTGCTGCCAGCGCGCCACACCAGCCCGCCTGGGCCGTGTCCTGCCATGCCCCTGCATCCTGAGGTGAGCTGTGCTCTCCAATACTGGCGCGCAGAGCCAAGGCGTGGTACGGAGTGCACGTGCGGCTGCCGTGGGGCGGCGCCGCACACGAGCCGCCGCCGCCCAGCGGCTACCTCACTCTCATCCCGCTGTCAGGTGGGGGGTGGCGGCTGCCCTGATTGGAGCAGCTGGGTTGGCCAAGGCTGCTACTGCGAGCAGCTCACCCTCCTGCCTGCCTCTTGCTGCAGACGCGCGGCTGCAGCCCCGCGACACGCGCGTCACCGCCGCCTTTCTGCTGCTGTTTGCGTGCGTGGTAGCGGGGGCGGTGTTTGTGGCGGTGCCGCGGGCGGTGAGCGTGGGGGAGATCACGGTGAAGGCGGACCGCATGAGCTGGAATACGACCAAGGTGAGGCGGGGAGGGAGAGGGAGGCCTGCTGGGTTGGTGCCGCGGGTGGGGCGAGGGAGGCGCAGGTGTGGGCAGCGGGCTGGCCCACGCGCGCCTGGCGGCGAGCCCAGGCTGCTGCTGCCGCGCCGGTCGACTGCCGCCCAGCTGCTGCCTGTGGGCTCTGGCCTGGCCCGCCCCGCTGCCATCCGTCTCCCGGCACATACGCGCATCCACCCCCTCGCTCACCCGCCCGGTACCACCCCCTGCGCTGCCGCAGTCCACGTACCAGCTGAAGCTGCTGGCGCAGATGCCCGTGTACAATCCCAACTTCCTCTCAGCTTCCATAGAGGGCGACCTGCACGTGCTCTTCTACAAGACCGTCGCCGGCGCGGGGCACATCAAGCCACAGCGCCTGCCGCCAAGAGCCGCCCCCAAGGTGGGTCGCTGGGTTCGCTGGGGGCTGGCGCAGAAAGGGTGATGGGGATGGCGCCAGTGCTGCTGTGCATGTGGCTAGCCGCCGCATGGGGGCCGCCCGCCTGCCAGGCCGCCGCCCAGCACTTCCCACTCACGCACACAGCATGCAACCACACTCTCTCCTGGCTCCCCGCCACGCGCCCACCCCCTCCCTGCCGCTGCTCCCGCTTGCGCCTGCCCCCTGAGCCTCACACCCCGGCATGCCCTCCATCCCCACACCTCACCACAACACCCCGCAGAGCCTGGGCGTTGCCATTGATGCCAGCGACGTGCCCTCAGACTACATTCTGGCCATCCTCAGCCAGTGCTCCACCTTCCCGGAGGTCCTCATCTTCTTCCTCAAGGGCAAGCTGACGGTGAGGTGCTGGACGGGTGGCGGTGAGAGGGGAGCGGCGCATGGGAAGGGGTGGGATGGGAGCGGGGGATGGGAGGGGATGGGATGGGAGGGAGGTATGGCAGGCGACGAGCATGGGAGCAACTGGAGCATGCGGGTTGTGCAGGAGGGCGAGGAAGGCCGACAGTGAAGAGTTCCCAGCTGGCTGCTGGCGTCCACCCTCCCCTTGCCTGCCTGCAGGCGAGGTACATGTGGCAGCGGCAGCACCTGGCAACGATAGATGTGAGTCCCATGCATGCCCAGGACTTATGTCTGCTTCTCAACCGCATGCAAAGCAGCTCAGCGCTGGCAGAGGCAGCCTGCCAAGCGAGGCACCTGTTCCTGAGAACCCACCCTCATGCACACCTCTCATGACTCCTGGTTGTTGCTGCAGACCTATTTCATGATCAGCTGCCTGGATCCATAACAACGTGGCGCACGGCTGCGGTGACGCTGCCACTCTCATGAAGGTGGGAGCTGCCGCAGCATTGCTCTGGTAGCGAGAAGCCCACTGGCGAGCTCCAGCTCTATGCGAGGCTCAAGACCTCGCTTGTTAATCCTTGGTTGCAGGGCAAGGTTCTGCTGTGCGTGGCGGCGGCGCAAAGTGCCAGTGTCTCTTCGCCGTGCGCCCTTTCCCTCTTCTGTACAATCACTCGGGCCCTCTGTGCTTTAGCCCATGTTGTTTCCCTGCCTTGCTCATTTCTCTTCCATTTTGGCTGCTCTCTGCCCTGCTATGGCCCTGTAAGCTGGCTTGCCTTGCGAGATTGGCCACTCTTATAAGTTTGCGCCGCGCGCCCCTGGACTGCCACCGACAGCCTGGCGGCGCTTTGCCGACGCCTTGCCAATCTTGCTTGCATGCCCCGCATTGGGGTTCAAACGTGATTAACTGCACTTGCGTCGACATACACACGCATCCACGAGCCAGCCAAGGAGGCAGAGCAGCGCGGCATGTTGGCATCTGCCTTTGCACATTGCGGCGATCCCGCAGCGGCATCAGGGGCATGCAGAGAGCCCAGGGTACCACGGCATGGCGCAGCCCGGCCATCAGTGCCGTCCCGACGCCTGGTGGCCCAAGCCAGTGCCGCGCCAGTGTCGACCGGCAGCAGCAGCAACAGCAGCGTGACCGACATGTACAATCAGCTGGCCGGCGTGCTGGCGGCGCCGGGCGGAGCGGTGGCGGCGGGGCCCACGCCGCTGGGCCGCGGCTTGGTTGCCACGCAGCAGGTGACGCAGGGCGCCACGCTGCTCTCCGGTGAGCAGCAGCAGCGGTAGAGGGGCACATGCTGCTGCAGGATGTGCAACTGCTATGAGCCGGTGGAATGAAGCTTCCTTCTGCACCCAGCCGCAAGTCTCGCCCCGCTGCTCCTGCCCTCCTGCAGTGGACTGGGCCAACATGCTGTGCGTGACCGACCAGCCCAAGCTGGGCGACGCCTTTGGGCGGCGGGTGCTGGGCGACTGGCAGATGCTGCACGGCCGCCTGCCGCCGCTGCTGGTCCGATACCTGGTGGGGGGTACGTGCGGCGGCGGGGGCTGGCACATGCCCAGCTGCACATGCACAGCCTGCAGCCCAGGATCGGTTGGTCGACGGGCGCTGCTTCCTGCCTCTGCCTGCGCTGCGCACCCAACCCAAGCCATGCGCCTGCCTGCGCCTGCGCCCTCGCCGCGCCGCAGACGAGGGCGACTGGTTTGTGCGGCTGGCGGCCTGGCTGCTGTGGCTGCGCCGCAACGCGCAGGGGCCCTGGCGCCTCTACATCGACCTACTGCCCCGGGTGGGTGGCCGTGGCCTTGCCTCTGCGCCTTCCTTAGCGTCGCCAGCCATCCCCGCCTGCCCCCTGCTCTCCCCAAATGTGGCCAGCCGTGCCGCTGCGCCCCCGGCCTCCACCTCATCCCATACACGCTCCCACTCCCATGCCCCGTCCCAACTCCCCTCGCTCCTGCTTTGCCCCCTGCTGCCCCACCCCCCCGCCTCCCTCCTCCCTCCTCCTCCCTTTGTACTCAGGAGGAGGAGATTACCACGCTGATGAATTACCGGCCTGAGGAAGTGGGCGAGCTGCAGAGCCCGCTGCTGGAGTCACGGGCCGCGCTGGAGCGCAGCCAGATTGCGGGCCTGCACGACAGGTGCGGTAGCGTTCCTCTGCCAGCCTGCCTGCCTGCTTTGCTGCACAGAGCCTGTGCCTAGACTGGTGTTGGACCTACCTGGGACTGCCTATGCTGTCACCACGCCTGCGTCAGACCTGCATCAATCGAGTGCATGACAAGGCTGCCTGCCGCCCACTGAACGCCCCTGCCCCGCAGGCTGTTCTGCACCTCTGGCGGCGAGCTGCGGGCGCTGCAGCTGGCGGCGGGGCTGCAGGACACTGTGTGGGCCGCCTGCATGGTCAACAGCCGGAGCTTCAGCGAGACGGTGCGGCCCAGGGGAGGGAAGGCGGGAGGAGGCGGGCAGCGCAGGCTGGCTGCTTGTCGGCGGCGGCGTACCTCCTCATGCGCAGCTTGGTGCCAGCCTCCTGTACCGCCTGCACCGCCTGCTGTACCGCAACCGCAGGTGGAGGGCGAGACGGTGTCCCTGATGGTGCCCTGCGCCGACATGGCCAACCACGCCCTCGCCCCCAACGCTTCCTACCAGTTTGTGGCGCCGGCAGACGCCTTCCAGCTGCAGGCGTTGCAGGTGTGGGTCCGGACCCTCTCCTTTGCTGCTCCTGCCTGCTTCGCCTTCGCTCGCTGCCCCGGTTCGGAACAAAGAGCCGGGGCACCGCCACCCTCCACGGCATGCTGCCTCAAGCTGCTGGGCTCCCAGGATTCGCTGCTCTGCGCTGCTTTACACACCAAAGAGCCGTGCTCTGCTCCCCCGCCCACGTGCCTGCAGGACATCGCACGGGGCGCCGAGGCGTGCATCAGCTACGGGTGCACCCACAAGTCGAATGAGGGGCTGATGCGGGACTATGGCTTTGTGGTGCCTGGCAACCTTAACGACCGAGTGCCCTTCTCGGCAGGCAAGCAGGGAGCGCGGCTGTTGGCTCTTGGAGGGTGTAGCGCAGCAGGAGGAAGGGTAGTGCGGGGAGCCAGGGAGCGGTGTGTGGTGGGAGGTCTGGGTGTCGTCAGCATGTGCACAGCTCTGCTCCATGCGCCTGGCCAGATCACCGCTCACGCTGCCGCCGCCGCCACGCTTTGCGCACGCTGGGTGCAGGCGATGACGTGGCGAGCCAGCTGGCGGCCAGGGCTGCCGGCCTGGGCGCCATGGCGCAGCCCAGCATCAGCGCGCCGCGGCTGCTGGAGGCTCTGGGCCTGGGCGGCGAAGCTGGCGGCAGCTTCGACCTGACGGCAGCGGCGGCGGCTGCCATGGGTGACAGCGAGGCAGACGCGGCCAGGCGGCGGCTGCTGGCGACGCTCATGTCGCTGCAGCCGTTCCTGCGGGACATCCCGCCAGCTGGCAGCACCGCCAGCGCCGCGGCAGCAGCAGCGGCAGCAGCAGGCGCAGCGCCGCCGCTGAGCGAGGCCGAGCTTCAGCGGGAGCGGCAGTCGTCGGCGGCGCTGGTAGGGCAGTGCCAGCAGCTGCTGGCTGGCATGCCCACTACTGTAGAGACAGACGAGGCGCTGCTCGCGGCGGACGGCGGCGGCGGCGAGCGGCTAGGGGCGCGGCGCCGGCAGGCGGTGGCGACGCGGGTGGAAGCCAAGCGGCTGCTGCGGGCGGCTGAGGCCGCGCTGCAGGCGTATGCGGCCGCGTTGCGGTGAGGGCGCCTGCCCGTGCCACCAACAGACTTATAGTTGCAGGACGCAAGCATACATGTGTTCATATGGTATGTATGTAGGAGCTGTAGCTGTGAAGAAACAGGGTAGGCAGACGGTGGCAATGCAGGGTTGATCAATGTGGAGGGTTAATCATCAGTTCGTTCAAAATTGTTAGCGTTCCATGCGGGTCGACAGCGTGGATACATGTGGCAGTAGCTGAGCCGCCATGCCTGGGCTGCCCGCCCAGGCAGCTGCGCCTGCCTGCCGGCTATCCGTGGGCCAACACGTCTGCAGGCGACGAATGCAGCCAGGCGCGTCAGTTTGTCAGTCCATCGGAGAGGGAACCAATCAAGCACTGCCACCCTAATGGTCGTGCGAGTCCATGCATGCATGACATGAGCACCACCTCCCTCACCCCACCCCACGCCAGGGCACTCACTGTAAGCAGCTGTGTAGCCTCTGGACCTCACAGTCGCCGAGCTGCGGCGCGTGCGGTAGATGGCGCAGCCGCGCGGGCCCACGTCGAAGCGCAGGCACCCGCTGGCGGCGCGGCACAGCGCGCAGCAGCCCTCCATGGTCCTGACCGCGGCTGCCACAAACGCTGGCTGGTCTGTGAAGCGAGTGAGGGGCTTGGCCTCCCCGCACTGCCGCTGCAGGCAGCGCTTGGGAGACCGCACCGAAGCGCCGTCAAAGACTGCCGGCTGCTGGCACCGCTCGCATAGCTGCTTGGCGCCGTCGCCCGCGCACCGCGCGCCGTCGCCGCTGCCGTCCTTTGCCAGCAGCGTTTCTCCTGGCTCGCAGGTGCTCTGGCAGCTAGGGGCTTCGCCAGCCCTGCGATGGGGAGCAGGACGCACGGGGGAGAGCTTCCGTGGGTGGAGGCAGATAGCACGAGGAGACTGCTGCTGCTGTGCGCCTCATCTGTCTACCCCACAACAACCCACACAACCCACTAGCTCCAGTTGCCAGCTCACCAGCTGTATGTGCAGCCGTCGCACTCCTTGCGTCCACACACCATGCACAGCATCTGCTGCTGGCAGCCGGCGCCTAGGTGGGGGTACGCCCCCGCGGTGCCGTTGTCGTGCCACGCAGGCACCGCCGCTGCCGCTGCCAGCGCGCCCCACGGCTGGGGGCACTCCTCTGCACAGTCCTGGGAGCCAAACCTGCGGGCACACGCAGCCCCCGCGCTTGAGCAACAGCAGAGCGCTTGGGAGGTGAAGGTGGTGCTGATGCAGCCCGATACATGCAGGTGCAGAAGATATGCTGCCGGCAGGCTTGCTGCCCGCAGCACCAGGTGGCCACGCACCACTTCAGGACGCACTCGTCCATGTGCGGCAGGCACAGCCGGCACCAGTGCAGCGCCCCCGTCTCGCTGCTGTTCTCTGATCTGCTCCAAGCCCAGCCAGAGCCCAGCTTAGTGCAGTCCAGCTTGGCGAGCGCCAGCTGCGGCAGGGAGGCGGGGCGGGGGCCGGCGCCGCAGGCGCACTGTCAGGCTTGCCTGCTATGGTGTTTTTGCTCTATCTACCTCTGTGTGGCAACACTGAGTAGTTTGCAGCAAGCCAGCAGAGCGCCAAAGAAACGGGAGCTTGCAAGCGGCTGTGCGCCCCTGCCAGCCTTATTGCCGTGTGCCGCCTCACCTGCTGGCTATACGGCAGCTCCGGGTTGTATGACAGGAGGAAGTCGGTGCATCCCCCGGGAGCTCTAAAGGGCAGGAAGTCGTGCCCCTCCAAGGCCGCGGCCTCTGCGGCCGCAGGGTGCGGTGCCAGTGCTGCCAGCACCGCTAGCAGCGGCGGCAGCAGCGCCGCGCAGCTCAGGCAGCCGTGTAGGCGGCGCATGTGAAACCTGCAGTGTGGCAAGGGGTACCAATGTAGGCGGCAGGGAAGGTCACAAGCCCCTCTTCAACAGTGAGCAGCCACGGCGGCCCACTGCTGCTGCCGCCAATGCATGGCGGCTGGCGGCGAGGTATCTAAGTTGGCGGCTGCGGGGCCACTGGGCCCGCCCACACCTTTCTAGAGTCACCCAGCGGTGACGGCAGGGCGAGAGAAGTCCAGGGTGTGAGTGGACGCCCGCGGGCCCCGGGTTGGGAGGGAGGCTGGGGCTGTGGGAGTGTGGCGGGTTGTTTGCAAGGGGGTGTCGTGGTAGGAAATGGCAAGATGCAAAGGTGCTAGGATTGAGCTTTGCAACAATCCTGGCGGACCTTTTCACGCGACCAGGCACACGCTCCGGACGTGGCGCGTCCGGGTCTCTCCTGAGCACAGCGAAAATTTGCACACGATATCGGCTGAAACATCTTTAAAGAAGACATGAAATAGGACAGGAAAGCCGCGCCCGGATGAGCCGCGGCCGCGCCAGACCACGACGCCGCTCAGCTGGCGCCGTGCGCCGTGCGCCGCTGCTCGCCCTGCTCCTCCTCCTCCTCCCCGTGCCCGCCGCCGGGGCAGCCGGGCGCGTCGCAGTGGTCGCTGGCGCACGTGTGCCCCGAGGCCTCGCTCTCCTCCAGAGCCTGCTGCATGATGGGCAGCTGCCACAGCTGCGCCGCAAGGTATTCCACCTCAGCCGCCACCACTGCACACACAGCACGATACGCCGCGGTTTGGGCGAGGTGGGCAGGAGTGCAGGGGGTGGGGAGGCAAGCCAGGGCCACCAACCAACACATGGCAGCGCCGCTGCGGTACCGCGGCAGCCCTCTGGCAGAGGCTGGCCACATGCCTGGGCAAACCACACCAGCCAGGCAAGGACCAAACCGGCTCAGAACAACCACCGGCTCTGGACACCCGCCAGCGGCGTCCCCACGCACGCCCTGCCCTGCCCTGGCGCTTGCCTACTGCCAGCCCCCAGCCCCCTGTCCCCCACCTGAGTGGGCGCTGGTATCCAGCAGGGCCAGCACCTCATCCCGAACCCGCTCGCTCCGGATCTCCCGCCACACCTCCTTGGGCGCCACCAGCAGCAGCATGCAGGCCCGCTCCACGCTGAGGTCCTCCCTCACAGCAGGCTCCGCCGCGGAGGCGGCCAGCGCGGGGGAGGAGCTGGCGGCGGCGGTGGCCCGAAGCTCGTCTGCTTCTGCATCTGAGGAGGTGGCGGCGGCGGCGGTGCCAGGCGCCTGCCGCTGCCCCTGCTGCTGCCGCTCCTGCTGCTCCTGCTGCGGCGTGCTGGCCGGCTCCACCGCACAGGCTGCCCACGCCTGCCCCGCTGCCGCTGCTGGCGTGCGGGACGGGCCACAGCCGCCGCCGGGGCTGCTGTAGCAGTCTGTGGCGAGCACGGTGTCCAGTGTACTGCCGCCGTCGCGGCGCGCCGCCTCTGCCGCCGCCGCCGCCACCGCGGCGTGCAGGGGCATGCCGCGGAGCTCCCGCAGGAAGGTGTGCACAGCCGCTGTCTGGATGCACACCCCGCCGTGCGTACTGCTGCCCGCGGTGCGTACCGCGATGAACTTGCGCAGCGCGGCGATCGGGGCGGCGGCGGCGGCCGCCGCCACCACGCCCGCCGCAGTCGCCTCGGGCACGTCTGCCGCCGCCGCGATCACGCCCCGCATGTGCTCAAGCAGGTAGCTGCAGGGGCGGGGAGGGAGCAGGGGGTGCCTTGGGTGGAGGGAGAGGGAAGGGGGGGCAGTGAGGAGGTGGCTGGGGAGGTGCTGGGAGAAGACAGTGGGGAAGGACGGGGCTGGGCAGGCCAGCCAGCCGACACGCCGCCACATGCCAGGGCCCGGCAGGCAGCGAGGCAGCCAGGCAACAGCGTACAGCACGACCGCGGCGACAGCATGCAGCACGGTCGCGGCGACAGCATCTGCCGGGCGCGCCTCGCCTGTTGGCCTGCTGCCAGTGGGCGTCCCGCACATCCAGAGTGAACAGCACCGAGTCGAGGCGCGGGTGGCGGCCCATGCGCATGAAGCCGCGGGGGCGGCCCGTGGCAGGGTCCAGCCGGGCCATGGCGCTGCAAGGGGCAGAGGCAGGCGCACGTGCAGGGCGCTGTGGGAGGCCGGTCGGCGCTGCAGCGCGGCTGGTGGGGGCGGGCGGGCTGGGAAGGCTGGTCCAGGCAGGCCGAGGGTGGGAGGCCCTCGGCGGCCGCGTGCAGAGCCACACCCGCGCAGCCACCGCCACACTGCGCTCCCCAGCCCTGCCCCCTGCCCAGCCCTCCCTCCTCACGTGCACAGCATGCGCTGGTGGGTCCCAGCCCAGCGCAGCACAAATCCTTGCCCCAAGAAGCGACCCTGTCCAGCCCAGCCCCAGGCCCAGCCCCAGCCCCAGCCCAGCGCTCCTCACTTGTACAGCATGGGCAGCGGTACCCAGTGGGGCGGGTACTTGAACCGTGCGGTATCCAAGATGAGAGCCAGGTCCTCGCGGGCGCTGTAGCCGCCGATGGGGCTGAAGTGGCCGTCGCCTGCGCTTGCGGGGGCGAGGAGGAGGGGAGGGAGGCGGGGTGGGCGAAGCGGGGCGAGGAGGGGCAGGGGAAGTGAAGGCAGGGCAGGGCCTCCGGGCCGAGCCCAGCCAAAACATCCAGCGGAGGGGAATGCCAGCGCCAAAGCGCCGAGCGGGCCCACCGAAGCACAGCCCCCGGCAGCACCGCCGCCACCGCGGCCGCTGCCGCCATCCGCACGCAAAGCCGCCGCTGGGCAGCTACCCGCCCCGCCAGCGCAGCGCGGCGCAGCACAGCGCAGCCGCGCGCCCACCTGTCTGCCGGAACTCCTGCCGGCTGTACGACACAATGATGTGCTCCTCCGCAGAGCTGCACACCTCCGCCACCATCCCCCGAAACTCCTCCAGGCTGACTGCGCCGTAGGGGTAGAGCTCCACGCGCGCGCCGTTGCAGCGCGCCAGGCACGCCGCCTGCGTCAGCGTGATGCCCTCCTCCCGCACCTTGGGCAGCGGGTGGCAGCAGTCGAGCATCTCCTCGTGGAACCTACGGTACCAGGAGGCGGTACATTGGCGATACATGGGTTGCACTGGGGAGGCAAAAGATAAGGATGCAGTTCTTGGTGCAGGATGTCGCACACGAGGGGGGAGGCAGGTGGTGAGTAAGGGTAGCGGCACAAGGCACCCAGGCCCCGCTGCGTGGTCGGCAGCCACGGGGCATGCGGGCGCTGTGCCGCCCCCGCGGCAGCCTCACCAGCGCCAGGGCCCCTTCCAGGTGCGGCGCGGGTCTATGTTGAGGGTGTTGAGGGTCATGGCTAGGGAGGCCAACCCGCAGTACGCCGGCTCGTCCTGCGGTACAGGCCGACAGTTGCACCGACGAGCAGGCGGCCGATTCTGAAGCCAGGGCTTGCTGCTGCGAGGACTGTGGACGCAGATGTGCACCAGGCCGGCTGGCAAGCAGTCAGCACTGTACACACACATACTCCAGATGACCAACGCATTTGCACCAGCAAGTGCCACCCCCCACACCGAGATCTCCCGCCGGCCGACCCACTCAGCCCACCAGCACCCACCTGCGTGCGGAACTGCTCTATGAGCTTGAAGAAGTTGTTGACGGTGCCGTCCGCCAGCGCCTCGCCAAACACTTGCTTGCCTGCATGCACGACAGCCCAGCGCAAAGCATAGAGCAGGGCATGTGAGCATTCAAACCAGGCAGAGCAGCGGCGGGCAGCGAAGCAGCGAGCGGCGCGCCCTCACCCCGGGCGGACGCAAACTCGATGGCAGGCGGGGAGGGCAGCTGGCGCTTGTAAAAGGTGCGGGAGAAGCCCGGGGGCGCCAGCGGCTTGCGCTCCATCTTGGCGGAGCCGCCGTGCTGCTGCGGCGGCGGAGCGGTGGCGGCGCCGCTGCCCTGGTGCTCGTCAACCTGCGCGCTGCAAAGGTCGGCGCCCAGGTGGCACCTGTTGTTGGTGGCGGCCTTGGCAGCGTCGAGCAGGCGTCGTGGCCCCTTCTTGAGAGCACTCCGAAGCATCCAGGAGGGCCTGGCCAGCCCGGCCGCCTGCAGGCTTCTGCTGCAATTCAGATCACCGAGCATGGGGTGGAGGGGTGGGTGGGGCAACCTGTTTTTTTGCCGCGGGCGGTGTCGTGGCGGGCCACGCCATTGCATTTTTGGCACAGTTGCTTTGTCTCGCTATTGCATCCCACAGTCCAATTCATTGGACCACCTTGGCGGCGCTCACCTGCCGAACAGGGCAAAGTAGGGAAATAGGGGGGCAGAGTGGTCGGCAAATGGGGCGCTGTGGACCTCGATAGAGGGCCTGCGATGGACACGGCGTCGCTGGGAGGTCTCTGCTATCTGGTGGGCGCGACAGGCCGCGTACCAGTTTGATCTGGACCTCTGGGCTTTCTGCCTTCTGCTCCTCTGGCCGCTGAGGCAGCCCGCGTGCGCCCCGGCTGTCCTTGTGCCGCGCAATGCCGCGCCCGCTACGCTCTGGGGCGCTGCGGCGCACAACAACCACACGCCCCTTGGCGCCGCCGCTGGCGTACTGAAGAGTTGGGTGGGACCCCCTGCCCTCTGTGCTCCCTGCAGGCGGGCCAGGTGGTGAGCGAGTGCGATGTGGGGCACGGCTCGCCACGGGGCAGCAAGCGGCCGTTGGAGGAAGCGCTGACGGCTCTGCGCAAGGTCTGGCGGCGCACTGTCCCTGCGGTTGCCAGCTCCGCCACCATCGGTAGTTGGCGTGGGCGCCGGGAGAGGACGCTGGGCGCTGCCCTTGTTGCCCTGCCTCATGCCTGTCGTCGATGCTGCCATTGCAGGGCGCCCTGCTGCTCAAGCATGGGCGGCACGGCAAGCCCAAGGTGCACTTCTTCCGGGTGTGTGGTGCCGACACGCAGCTCAAGTGGCGCTCCGCCTCTGGCTCGGTCAAGCAGGTGCACTGCTGGCGCCCGCGGATGGCGGTGCTTTGTTGGCTGTACAGCGCAGCTCCAGATGCGCCGGCCAGGCGAGCGGCAGGCGTGGAGCTGCGCTGCCTGCCGCAGCGACCACTGGTGCGTGTGCGGATCCAGCGTCTCCTTCAGCCTTTGTTATCCAGGTACCTATGGCATCCTGTGCCTGTGGGGACCATCACTTGCTGCAGGTGAAGCTGCGCAATGTGAGCGAGGTGGTGGCGGGGCAGGCGACGGAGGTGTTCCGGCGGTACCCCCTGCGGGAAGGCGCCGGCTCCTTCTCTCTGCGGTACCGTGCCGAAGACGGCACCAGCCGCACCCTGGACCTCACCGCCACCGACGAGCAGCAGTTTGAGCTGTGGTTCACGGGCCTGAGGGTGGTGGCCGCCCGGCTGCAAGCGCTGGGCACGCCCGTGGCGGCGCTGCCGCCCAGCGGCCCCGGCGGCCTGTCGCCTGCCGAGCTGGCGCGCTGCGTGGGCATCCGCATGCAGGAGGTGCGGCTGGTGGCACCCTGCCAGGCTGGCTTTGCGTCTCCTGTCCCCTGCCCGGCCGCCTGCATCCCCCGGCCTGCCCTACCGCCCTAGCCTGGTTGCCTGCCTCGCCACGCAAGCAGGGCCGCAGGCAGGCCGCTTCCGGCTGCTCACCCGCAGCCCCTCGGTTCCTGCTTGCTGCTGCGCAGGCCTCCGGCCCCGTGTGCGTGCCTGTGCCGGAACGAACGCCGTGCGACCTGCTGGCCTGGGGCTCCGCTCAGCGAGCGCCCCCCGTCTCCATGAGCCTTCGCTCTGTGATGGGCGTGGTGGAGGACTGCTGGCAGCACCGCAGCCTGCCGGGGCTGGCCCCGGGCGGCGGCCACCTGGACGTGTACCGCGCCGCTGTCGGGCGCAAGCACGCCGCGCTGGTCACCGCCACGGGCGCCGTGTACTGCTGGGGCGAGGGGCGCGGCGGCAAGCTGGGGCTGGGCCACGACCAAGACCAGGCGCAGCCGCTGCGCATCCGCCACGGCCTGCAGGGGCAGTGCGCGGTGGCGGTGGCCTGCGGCGACGACTGCACCGCCGCGCTGACAGACGGCGGCGAGCTGTTCATGTGGGGCCGCCTGCACGTGGACAGCCGCCCGCAGCTGGTGCCGCTGCAAGTGCGGGGCGACCTGCGCGGCCGCAAGGTGGTGCAGGTGCGCTGGGCGGGGGGGCGGGGGTGGCACCCGTGTGGTCTGGGAGGGCAGCAGCGCCAGCAGCGGCAGCCGCCAGGGGCATTGCCCCTCGCTCCCTCGCTGCACGTGGGCGCTGCTAGTGTGGCCCCTGCTGCGCCAGCCGGCCGTGGGCTCAGAAGCTGCACCATCCTGCGAGTGTGTCTTGTGTGGTGTGGCGCCCACCCGCCTGCCTGCCTGCCTACCTACCGGCCTACCTACCTGCCTACCGCCTGCCTGCGTGCCTGCCTGCCCGCCCGCAGGTCTCCTGCGGCCCCTTCCACTGCGCCGCCGTCTCCTCCGACGGCCAGCTGTTCACGTGGGGGGAGGGCTTTGGGGGCAAGCTGGGGCACGGCGACCAGGCCAACCGCGCGCACCCCTCGCTAGTGCATGCGCTGGCGGGGAGGCAGGTGCTGGAGGTGGCGTGCGGCGTGTGGCACAGCGCGGCCATCGTGTCGGAGCCAGAGGGCAGCCCCTATGCGCCCCTGGCCCTGGCCGCCGCCGCGCACCACAGCCCGCTCAAGGCGGAGAGCAGCGCGGAGGGTGCGTCCGCGGGCGGCGGCGGGGAGGGGGCGGGCGCGCCGCCCGCCAGCCCCGCGCACCTGCCCGCGGCGGCGCACCACCACCGCAACAACAGCACAAGCTCCGCCTTCTCAGAGGTGGGTTTGGCGGCTTGTGCGCGCCTGTGAAATGGTTGGGTGGGTGTGGGTGGGGGCTGGCAGCCTGGGCCGCCCGCTGCCGCCTGCCTGCCAGCCCCTGCGCCTGTATGCTTTGAAGGCACATCCCTTGCCCCTCCCCCGGTGACGCCTGCCTGTCTGCCTGCCTGCCTGCTTCGGCCTTGCACCCGCCGCTCGCAGGCGTCTGTGTTCCACGACGGCGTCAGCGGCGCGCTCTACACGTGGGGGGCGGTCAGCGAGAGCGTGGCGTTCGGCGCCAGCGAGAAGCGGGACAGCAACAAGGGCTGCCTGGGGCACGGCGACGGCGACCTGTACCGTGGCCAGCTGCTGCCCACGCGCGTGGGCGGGGCGCTGGAGGCGCGCCAAGGTGGGTGCCCCGCCGCCCGGGCCGGCGCCTGCCGCCTTTCTGCGCGCTCCGTGCCCGGCGTGTCCGCCATCCACACCCACGTCCACGTCCACCGCCGCTCGCAGCAGCAGCTCGCTGCGCCGCCCCTGCCCCTCACGCCGACCTCCCTTTACCTTTGCCCCGCCGCAGTGCGTCACGTGGCGGCGGGCTCCCACCTGACGGTGGCTGTCACCACCGGCGGCCGCGTGTTCCAGATGGGAGCCACCGGCGCCTCGGGTCCCGCCCGGCACTGCCCCTGGGAGGGCGCCACGCTGCCGGAGCTCGTGCGCGGCGCGCTGCAGGGTGCGGCGGCGGCGCCGGGGCTGGTGGCTAGCAGTGGCTGTGGCTGGCAGTGGCTGTGGCTGGCAGCTGTAGAGCGCGGCCGCGTGTGCAGGCATAGGAATAGGAATGGAAGGCGGCCAGGTGGCAACACGCCCCCCACCGCACCCCACCCCCCGCCCTCCCTCCCACCTCCACCCAACCCGGCTGCCCCCTTCCCCTCCTCCCCTCCTCCCCGCCCCGCCCCCCCGCAGGCTACTTTGTGGATGAGCTGTGCTGCGGCATGCACCACGCGGCGGCCACCGGCCGCCCTCTGGACCGCAAGCTGGGGCGCCCCGCCGACCACGCGCCGCGCGCCGCCTTTGCCTGGGGCCGCGGCTCCGAGGGGCAGCTGGGCGTCAAGGGCTTTGACGACTCTACTGCCCCGGTGCTGGTTGAGGGGCTCAAGGGGCGCCATGTGCTGCAGGTGGGGGCGGCCGCTGGCTGGTGGGTGCCTGCTGTGGCAGCGTGGCGTGCGGTTGGTGGTGGGCGGTGGGCAGGTGGGTGTGAGAGGCTGCGGGAGCTGCCGGGAAGAGGGGGACACGCCCGCGTGCCGCGCGCCACAGCCACTCTGCACGAGGCGACCGCGGCGCCGCACCCGCCTGCCTGCGTCCGCAGGTCGCCTGCGGCGGCAGCAACTCGCTGGCGGTGTGCGAGCACGATGTGCGGCGGTGGGAGCCGGACAGCAAGGAGGAGGCGGAGGCGGCCAGCCGGGCGCTGTACGCTCTGGCTTCCGAGCCCAGGCAGGCGCGCGGGCAGGGGCAGGGGCAGGGCGAGGGCGAGGCGGCGGCGGCGGGTGGGCCCGCGGGCCGCTCAGACAGCCGGCGCGCCAGCGAGCGCGCCAGCATGGGCATCGTGCGGCGCAGCTTCAGCATGATCGGCACCCGCTCTCAGAGCATCAGCGGCGGCTCCGGCGGCGGCGGCGGCGGCGGCGGCGCCATCGGCGGCCCGCCCGACCTGGCCCGGCTGAGCAGCGGCAGCGGGCGCAGCGTGCACAGCCTGGGCGGCGCCAGCGCGGCCGGCAGCGCGCGCGGCGGCGGCGTCGCAGCCGCCCACCACCCCTCCTTCACCCAGACCTACTCCTTCATGGCCGCCCACGGCCCCCGCTCCAGCCTGCAGCACCAGCAGGCGCACGCGGCGGCGCTGCCGCAGCCGCCCAAGCTGCAGCGCATGCGCTCCGACCGCACCACCGGCAGCGCGGTATCCGCCGGTACCGCCGGTACCGCCATGCAGCGCATCGTGTCCATCGGCTCGCCCGTCAAGTCTGCGGCGCACAGCCACAGCGGCGGCAGCCACGCCGCACGGCGCAGCACCTACGCCGGCGGCTTTGGCGGGCCGGGCGGCGGCGCGGGCATGGTATCCGCCCGCAGCTTCACCGCCGGCATGGGCGGCTACGGCGGCTATGCAGGCGGCGGCGCGCCATCCGACATGAGCAGCCTCTCCTCCTGGCAGCACCGCCCGTTGTCGGAAGACGGCGTCGGCGGCGTGGAGAACGAAGGTGGGGCTGGGGCCGGCGCTGCTGCTGCCTGCTGTGCCTGCCGCGGAGTGCTGCTGGTTATGTGGCACTGGCGCCGGCGACTGCGTGTCGCTGGCAGCCACGGGGCCTGGGCGCTACGCTGCTCTGCCTTCACCTCACACACCTCTCCTCGCCGCCTCACAACGCCACTGCTGCTCGCCCCCGCAGCCGACAGCGGCGGCGGCGGCGCGCTGGCCGGCGGCAACCGCCGCGTGTCCAGCGCTGACCTGGCGGCCGCGCTGGATGACATGCGCTCGGGCAGCAGCTCGCTGGCGCTGCAGGAGGAGCTCGCGGAGAAGAACCGCATCATCGACAGGCTGCAGGTGTGTGGCGGCGGCGGCGCGGGGCTGGCGTCGGCCAGGGCAGGGCTGGCAGGCGGCGGGCGTCGTGGGCGCGATGCAAGGGGCGTGCCTGGCGCAGGGCCGGGTGCGCGCTGGGCTGCTGCAGGGCTGGCTGTTTGGCGGCCGCGTGCGGCAGCGTTCTGATCTGTGCGTGTTTCCTGGCTGCCTGCCCGCCCTGCCGCAGCGCACCCTGGACAAAATGCAGCGCCAGCAGCAGCAGCAGGCGGCGCAGCAGGCGCAGCAGGCGCAGCAGGGCGGCGGGCCGTCGACGGCGCCGCGCGCCGCCTCTGCCGCGGCAGACGCCGAGAAGCAGCTGAGGGAGGCGGTGCGGGCGTCGGCCGGCGCCTTTCGGGAGGCGCAGCTGGGCGGCGGCTCGCCCCCGCAGCAGCAGCGCTCCGAGGGCAGCAGCGGCGGGCGGCCGCGGGTGGCGTCGTCGCCCGCCGCCGCCGGCAGCTGGCACTCGCCGCTGCGCTCCAGCCTGAGCCCCAGGCAAGCGCGGCTCTGCTCTTCCTCATGCCGCCTGCCGCTGGCTTTGCTGCGGTTTCTTGGGGCCTGGAATGGCGGCTGCATGGCGGCTGCATGGCGCAGCAGCCTCCAGGCGACCCCAACCCACGCCTGCGGCCCCGCTGTCCTGCACCCTGCTGTGCTGCAGAGCCCAGTGCGCGTCCCCCGCGGCCAGCGCCGGCGCCGGCGCCGCAGAGGAGCAGCATGCTGAGCTGGCGGCCATGGAGGCGCTGTTGGCGAAGAAAGAAGCGCACCTGGAGGGGCAGCAGGCGCAGCTGGCGGCCTGGGCCGCTGAGCTGCAGCGGCGGGAGGTCGCGCTGGCGTGGCAGCAGGCCGCGCTGGTGGGCGCAGGCGGCCGGCCGGTGGGCGTCACCTGGGCGCCGGCGCCAGGGGGCAGCCCCACCAGCGCCGGCGCCGTCCCGGAGCCCATCCCATCAGAGTCCCCCACCCTCTCTGGCCGGGCGCTGGCCCCAGCTCCAGCCGCGGCGGCGCTGCCTAGGGCCGCCCCTCCCGCTGCTGCACCCGCGGCGCCACCGCGGGCGCTTGCGGCCGCAGCGGCGGCGCCGGCATCGCTGGCGGCCCACCCCGTGGCTGCCAGCAGCACGGGCAGCGCCAGCGGCACGCAGCCGGGCTCGCCGGCGGCGGCCGACGAGTGGACGGAGGAGTTTGAAGAGGTGCGGCGGCGTGGGGGTGTGACAGTGAGAGTGCTGTGCCGCCGCGGCGTGGGGGCAAGTGCTGCGCTTGTTCGGTGGCGCTGCCGGCTGTGGAGCAAACCAGCACGCGCTGGGGTGCACCGGGGCCCGGCGCTGCCCTGCCCGCCTCCCTGCCGCTGCTGCTGGCGCCGCTGCTGCCGCCGGGCGCGCATGCCGGGCTTGAGCTATACACGTGCTCACTCCGCCTGGCCGCTGCCCCTGCCCTTGGCCTTGCCGCCGCCTGCAGGGCGTCTTCCTGACCTTCACCTCAGAGGCAGGTGCCAAGAAGCTGCGCCGCATCCGCTTCAACCGCTCCCTCTTCTCCGCCACCAGCGCCAAGCAGGTGAGGGCGGGGTGGTAGCAGGCAAGGGCGGAGAAGCTGCCAGCAGGAGGGCTCGCCCGCAGGAGGGCGGGGTGCCAGGGGCAGGCAGGCGGACGGCGCCCTGCGCCTGCTGGGCCAGCTTTACACCTTGGGGAGGGGCGGGGCCAGGCGGGCGCCGCTCTTGGCTGCTGCCCGCAGGCGGCGCTGTTGGCTGCTCCATGTGCTGAGCTGTCATGCCTCCCCTAACCCACATGCCTGGCCCCGCTGGTGCAGTGGTATGAGGTCAACAAGCACCGGCTGGCGCAGCCCACAGGCACCCCCCGCGTGGCAGGCGGCGCCCCCACTCCGCCTGCACCCGCCGCCGCCGCCGCCGCCGCCGATGGCACCGGCACCGCTGGCGGCTCGCGGCCCGGCACGCCCTTGGCGCTGCCTGCCGGCCCGCCGCCGCCGGTGCAGGGCCCTGAGGAGGGGCGGGGGCAGAAGGGCCAGGCCGCCAATGGCGCCGCGCATCTGGCGGCGTCGGAGGCAGAGGCGCAGGCGGTGGCGGGGCTGCTTCACTACCGCCAGACCAGCCGCAACCTCAGCTTCGACGCCCGAGAGCTCGCCGCGTTCAATGAGCGGCTGCAGCAGGCGCTCGCGCCGCCCTCGCAGCAGCAGCATGCGGGGCAGGGCGGCGGCGGCGGCGGCGCGGCCGCGGGCCTGCCGCTGCCGCACCGGCCGGCCAGCCGGCTCAGCAAGCCGCCGCTGGCAGGCTTGGCGGCCGGCAGCGAGGCCGCGGGCAGCGGGCAGGCGTCGCCCTTTGCCGCCGCCGCCACGCCTCGCAGGCAGGAGCCGGGGGAGGCTGCGGGCGGCGCGGCGGCGGCCTCGCCCTTGCTGTCGCCATCCCCGGGTCTGGGCGGGGAGGCCAGCCGGGAGTGGAAGTCTGCCCACAGCAGCCCCTTCACTGCAGACTCCTCCCACGCCGCCAGCCGCGAGGCGTCTGTCACGCCAGGCGAGCAGGGCGGCATCCGGCGCGGCAGCTACTCTGCCAGCGGCGGCAGCAGCCCCATCCGCGCGGGCAGCCGCTCGGGCAGCCCACTGAGCAAGCACCACAGCGTGGCCAGCAGCTCGCTGGCCAAGCAGCTGAGCAGCTCGGTATCGGAGCTGGCCAAGTATACGCCTCGGGCGGTGGCCGCCGGGGATCCGCAGCCGCAGCAGGCGACGGGCGCCGGCGTCAGCGAGCGCAGCGCCAGCGGCGGCAGCCAGGCCACCGCCTCCCCAGACGCGGCCAGCGACGGCAAGCGCTCCCCCTCTGGCTTCTCGGCGAAGATGAGCCGCATCCGGCGGTCGCTGACGGGCGGCGGCGGCGGCTCGGGAAAGAAGGCGTGACGCCGGCGGCACGCGGCGGCCGGCTGCTGGGTGGGCGGGCCTGCAAGTTGCGGCGGGCCGCGCTCCTGCCTCCGCGCTAAAACAAGTTGTCGGACTGCACAGCACTTGGGACCCCACTGTTCCTTGTTGTTACTTGCTTGTTTCTTTACTGACTGTGAGAGTTTCAAGGCAAATGTTGCACACAGCCCCTGAGCCTTGCGGCAAACGTCGGCCCGGCTGCTGCCGCCTGCCTGGGCTGGTTTGATGGTTAACGTTTCCACTTCAAAATCAGCTCGCTCAACCCCAAAATCAGCTCAAGACCAAGGCACCAAAACCAAAGGCAACCACTTTGCTCTGAACGGCCTCCAGCGGCGGGGTGGAAAGTCGGGGGTGGATTGAGAGCCTGCTCAGCTCCCTGCTCGTTGCTCAGGCCAGCCTTTGTGGCATTGCGTCCATTCGTCTGGCCTGTCCCAAGTGCGATTCAAAAGGGCAGCTGGCGGCCCACGAGCAGGGTCTGCTCTCCGCCTCCAGGGAGCAAAGAATGCCCCTGCAGCGCAGGCTGCTGCTAACCCTGCTGCTCGCGCTGTCAGCCGCAGGGCTGGCAGCAGGCGCGGCGGCAGGCGCGGCGGCAGCGGCAGGGCCGCCGGCGGCCGAGGGGAGCACCGCCGGCGCAGGCGGCTCCCACAAGCAGCTGCCTGATGCGCCGCAAGAGGAGGGGGAGGAGGAGATAGAGCGGCATCACCAAGCGATTAATGCATGGGCAGACAGGCGAGCGGGCCATGGAGGGCCAGGGCGGTCGTGGCAAATTGCGGCGCTCTGCACGCTGTCCAACACCGCATCACGCAGCATGATGCTGGGTAGCGCAGGCAGCCGCCACCCCCAGACGCCCTGCCGCATTGCGCCTGCGCCTGCAGGTTTCGCGAGGACCAAGCGCAGCGCAGCGCGGCCGACAACCGGCCCCCTACAGCAGGCGCCAGCATGGCGGGGCTCGGCAGCTGCGGCGTGGACCAACAAAGCCTGTGCGTTGTGAGCTGAGCTGGGGGTGGGGCAGGTCCTGTCTGTCTGCTGCACTGTGTGCCTGCCTTCCTGCCCGCCTGCCACTCTCTCCCTGAGGCCCCATCCAGCCTGGCCTGCCCGCCCGCCTGCTGTCCCTGCTTCAGCCCCGTGAGCAGGGACTTCTTGGTGGTGGTTGCGGCAGGCAACAACTTCGACTCTGGCGCATGGATGGACCGCCCTGAGCTCGCCAACTGGGATCTGGGTGGGTGGCGGCGTAGCGGGGATGTGTCTGTGCCAGGAATTTCTCGGCTGCGCCCATGCCAACCGGCGGCGAAGCGAGCGCTTGCCCCGCCCCTGGCGGTCCCTCTGCGCCGCAGTGGTGCTCTACTTCGGCACCCGCCCGCACACATTCGCCTGCCCGCGCTGCAAGGCGGTGTACGCGGCGGGCGGCGCCAAGTGGCGGCTGGCATACCGCTTCACCCTGAGCGAGGAGTGGCCGCAGTACCGCCAGCGGTACAAAGCCATCATGCTGCCTGATGATGACCTGACGGCGAGCAGCTCAGCCCACCGGATTGGGCCGACCGCGCGTTGCTGCAGCTTTGACCGCCCAGCAAACTTAGCCCGCTGGCAGCGTCGTGTACGGGGCAGGCATGCCCTGCTTGCTGCGTGCCTGGTGCTGTTCGACCAACCCACTGGTTCCACTGCCTTCCCTGCCGGCAGGACGTCGACACCTGCACCATCAACACTGTGTTCAGCATGATGGCCGCCTACCAGCTGCTGCTGGCACAGGTAGGCACCGGGCGTACCCGCTCGTGGCAGGCCGGCCGCCTGGAACTGTTGATTTCTCCCCGGCACGCCAGCTGCCCCTTCCTTGATCCCCGACGCAGCCCAGCCTGTGCGGGGGCGCGCACAACACGCATGGTGTGGTGTTCCAGAACACCAGCAACGCGTTGCGCTTCACGAGTAAGCGAGGCCGCCCGCCAGCGGTGGGGGAGGGGAGATGGCACGGGGATGACACGGTGTGTCTGCTCGCCTCCCGCTCCCGCCGCCTGCAGCGTTTGTTGAGGTCATGGCTCCTACCTTCCAGTAAGCCGAGTAACCCTAAGCAGTCGCGCGTCGGCAGCTGCAGCGCGGCGTGCATGCCCAGAGGCTGACGGCTTCCAGCCTGCTGCTTGTGTGCAGAATGGACTTTTTTGATGGCCTTGTGAGGCACACCCTGTACGATGCCTACTATGGCTGGGGTGAGCTGCCTGGGCAGCGGCAGCGGCACCTGACAGCGTCGACGGTCGCGGCAGCAGCACTTGCTGTCACCTAACGGATTCCCTGGTGGGGATCCTGGGTTCCCAAGCCGTGTGCTCCGCTGCCGCCGCGTCGCTGCCGTGGGCCGAGCCTGCTGCAGGCCTGGACTTCCTGTGGCCCTTCCTGCTGCACTACCCGCCCCGCAGCATCGGCATAGTGGATCAGGCGAGCAGGAGCAGGAGCAGGCGCTGGTAACAGCGCTGCCAAAGCGCAGGCTGCATGGCGGGCGCTCCGGTGGCCAGACGTGACAGATCTGGCAGGCCTGGCGCTGCCCCCACCTCGCCCACTGCCCGCCCGCCGCAGGTCTGCGTGTTCCACCTCACCAGCACAGCCGACTGGGAGCAGCCGCTGTACAAGATCAAGGCGCCGCTGCTGAACTATGAGGAGGAGTGGCACCGGTATGGGGAGTTTGGTGAGGAGGCATAACTTCCAGAGTGCACGCTGCAAACGGCGTGCGCTCGGCGACCCCGCAACCACCAGCCGGGGCAGCCCGGCGCTGCCGCCTGGCCTGCCGCCTAGCCTGCCGCCTTGCATCCTGCGCCTGTTGCCAGTGCCGCACACTTGCTGCCACACGCACGACCCAACCCCTCACATGCCTGACGCCATCCCACACGTGCCTGCCGCACAGGCTACGGCGGCGAGTCAGCAGTGGAGCGAGGCTTCCATTACCGAGCTGAGGAGGAGTTTGAATGGGTGGCCAGGATGGAAGAGCCGCCCGCCGACAGCCCAGCGGGCAGGTCGTCACAAGAGGATGCAGCGCCTCCAGAGGACGCAGCGCCCCCAGATGATGGCAGCTCTGCGTCTGAGCCGCCGCCCCCAGATGACAGCCAGGCAGAAACGTCAGCCCCAGATGGCAGCCCTCCCACGCTGTTGCTCACGGCTGAAAGCCAGTCGCCTGCCGACAGCCTGGCAGGTCTTACACCGCAGCCAGCTTCGGTCCAGGCCGTGACGTCCAGGCTGAGAGCGCGGCGCATCCCAGGGCTCCGCTCCCTCTTCCCCCACCTCGGTCTGGGGCATGCCGTGGTCGCCGTGCTGGGCTGCCTGCCGCTGGCGGCGGTACTGCTGCTGCTGCGGGGCTCGTGATGGCAGGCCACATCGTTGTAAGCCATGCAAGGGCATCAGCTGCAGGGCAATCGATCTGAGGCACAGCGGTGGCGGCGGAGGGTGGCTCCTGGTCTCCCTGCCGCCGTTTGCGCCTCCCCAATCCGCCCGCCGCTGCCCAACCTGTTTTCCTGGCCTGTTTGCTCCTATGTCCCTTGCATGACATCACGGTCACGGCTGTTTGCTGGCGTTTGTGTCGAGTGCCACTTTAGCCTCCTCTGCACGCAGCACCTGCCACTGTTTGCTCCGATTGAGCAAGGCACAGCTGCCAGGCATGAGGAGCGGGCTGCACATCAGCCTGCTGCTGCTCCTGCTGCTGGTGCTGCTGGCGCAGCAGCCCGGCTGCCGAGCAGAGGAGGGCGCCGCTTCCGACGGCGACGCAGATGCGGAGGTGGTGGCGGCAGGCCAGGAGCAGAGGACTGAAGTGGAGGGCAAGGAGCCTTCTACAGTGCCTGCTGAGTTCATCGTCAGCAACGCAACGCTGCGCAGCGTGCTGCAGCGGGTGGCATCTCCCAAGGAGCAAGCCGTCATCTTCACCACCACAGGGTGCGTGGCAGTTGCCTTTGCATTAATGCAAGATTGCGCAGGGCCCTCGCCCCATTCAGCTGAGCACACCAGCACCACCGAGGCTGCACCACCAACACCAATCCTTCTGCGCAACCCTGCTCGCACGCAGGCTGCCCCAGTACCCCGATGCCCAGCTGGAGATGCTCTCTAACTTCTGCTGGTGGCTCAACCACAGCGGCGTGCTGAGCCACACCATGGTGCCCCTCCAGCTCCCGCCGCTGCTGTGTGCCTGCCTGCTGTCTGGTGCCCAGCCCTGCCGCTCCAGCAAAACTCCCGCCGCTGCAGATGCTCCACTGCCCTGCCCCGGCTCCACAGCTCCACAGGCCCGCTGCCCTGCCCTCGTGTATGTGTGCAGCTGCTGACGACCAATGAGGCGGCCTTCCACCGGCTGTCCGAACTGGGGTATCCCGTGTTCCTGGACCGCCTGTTCCCAGAGGAGTACCGCCATGGTATCCCAGACTCCACAAACAAGTGCGCGGCGACAGGGCGCTGCATGGCGGGCGGGCTGATATGCCTGTTGGAGACAGGCAGGGCCGCCCCTGCCAGGCTCCCACAGCAGTTGCCTGTCCTCACCATGCGCCATGTCTGCCGCCTGCCCCGGCCGCTGCCCCTGCAGGCCGTGGGACGTGGCAAAGCACTTCTGGGGCGCAGCCATCGTGGCGGAGGGCTTCCGGGCGCTCTACATGGACAGCGACGCGATCGCCAAGCAGAACCCGCTGACCTGGTTCGGCACAGGCTATGACGTGCAGGTGGGCTGCTCTGTGGGGGTGAACAATCACATGGGTTGCATGCCAGATGCGCCATGCATCAGTGACTGCGGTCGGGCCTGCATGTCAGCTGCGTGGGCAGCTCCAGGCAGGAGCAGATGGTGGGGCACACTGATGAAGGGCATGATCTGGCAGCGGGAGCGCCACCTGCTCGGCACCCCTCCCTGCCGTCTAATGCGCAGGGCCTCAGCGACTGGACGGGGCCTGAGCTGCCTCCGGTCGGGCAGGTGCTGCACCAGTCCTGCGGCCACTATATCCTCGTGCCCGACGGAGGAGCGGAGATGGGTGAGGGGCTCTGACTGCTGCATAGAAGGATATACCAGGATAGACCATGGATCCTGCGCACAAGCCCGCAGCACCATGACGGCAGTGGCAGCGCCGCTGCCCGTGTGCTCCGCAAGGAGTCGAGCCTGGCGTGTGTGCTGCAACCTGCTGCGGCCCCTGCTGGGGTCACACGGGTGCAGGTTCCATGCTGTATGAGTGGTGGTCTGCGCCGCCGGGGCAGCGGGAGAAGGGATTGAACTACCACAGTGAGTCGGCTGCACCGCACATCATGCGGCATGTGGAGGGGGCTGCTGGGGACCAACCGTCTGAGCGCTGCCGGCAGGACTGAAGCAGCCGGCTCCCGACAGCGCTCCTTCCTCCTTGTCCCTCCTTCCCCTGACACCCCTTTGCCTGCTGCAGACCCCTGCCAGTCCACGGGCGTGTGGTATGTGGAGCCCACACCCGTGGGCATTCGCTTCATGGCGGCGATGAGGGACCGCCTGCTGCACCCCTCGATGCGTCGCCAGTGGGACCAGGCGGCGTGGAACGAGGGTGCGTCGCTTTCTTTCTTCCACAGGGGCCACAAGCTACAGCACCTGGTGTAGAAGGCCACCTCTATCCCGGCCTCTTCCGCCCAACCCAAGCTTCTGCCATGCTGCCGCGCCATGAACCTGACTGACGCCTTGCCCCGCGTTGCCCCCTGCCCTGCCGCACAGTCATCCTCCCCTTCCTGTGGGGCGCCGGCGACGAGCCCCCGCTGCGCTACCGCCTGCTGCCGCCCGCCTTGTTCGCCGGCGGCGTGCACAACTACGAGGAGCGGCTGGAGGCGGGGCTACCGGTGGACTTGGTGGTGCTGCACGCTGGCGGCACGCAGTCCCACGGCGGAGCCAAGCATGCCACCTACGAGCGGCTGGGCCTCTTCCACAAAAACTTCAGCTTACCCGCCCGCCCCGCGCTGCCGCCAGCAGGCAACGGCGCGGCGAGGGTGGTCAAGCCTGCAGGAGACGAGGAGGCACACCACACCAAGCAGGCTGCCGCCGTGCCCGTGCCCGCAGCCGCCCAGCCGGCTGCACATGCCTCTGGCAAAGAGGAGTCCACGGCGGGCCCCACGGCCACGTTTGCCTGCTACGGCGGCAGCCCAGACGAGGTGTCTGCCCTGGTGCTTTCGCTTGCCGCGGCGCTGGCGCTGCTCGGCGTGGGCGGCTGCGTCGCCGCGCTGGCAATGTTCCGACAGTCGAGGGAGCTGGTGAAACGGAAGGGGCTCTTGCCAGCCAGCCAGTTCAAGCTGGTCACTTAGCTCGCTGAGAACCATCCTGCCAACATCTGATGATGCAATGTTGACCTCACACCGATGTAACTGCACAGCCAAATGCGCGGCGGCGACTGACGCCAGTTTTGCGTTCCAGCTTTGCTTTCCAGCTCACGACAGACAGCAGCTGGAGGTGGCATGGTGCTTACAGCGCAGCCACGTCTACGGCAGGAGTCACATGATGGTGCACCGCCCCCACTTCCCCTCCTCTGCACCGTCGTCGCCGCCGCCCCGCGCCGCCGACGCCACCGCCTTTTTGCTGGCCGCCGCCGCCGCCTCCGCATCGACCCGCGGCCGCTTGTTGCCGCCATTGGCGCGGCGACCCGGCGCCGCCTCGGCACGCTGCTGCTGCCGCTTGTCGGCATACTCTGAATACGGCGCCACGGTCCAGCCTGGGTAGCGCTGGCGCAGCACATCCGCGGCACCCTGAAAGAGCACGCAAGCACGCAGGCACGGCAGCCAGGCCTTGCCTGTGCTGGCAACCCAGAGAGACAGCCAGCAGGTGGACAGGGCTGGCCGCCAGCCAGGCCAAGGGCCCAGCACGCATGCAGCAGCCTGCATCCCGGCCTGCCGCCGGCATCAGCAGCCTGAAGAGCCGGCTCCCCTGGCACGCAGGCTGACCTGGCAGGCAGGCAGGGCAGGCACTCACCGGCACCGCCTCGGGGTCCCCCACCTCCACCAGCGCCCCCAGGCCTCCCTCCACCAACGTCGCCCGCACCTGCCCCAGCCCAGAGTCCGCCAGCCGCCTGCGGGCAGCACGCAGGCCGCAGGCGGGCACAGCAAGGTGGGTCGGTTGGCGGGCAATGGGTGGCAAGCAGCTGGGGAGGCTCAGCTCAGGGCAGCTGGCAGAACATGCCCGCCCATGGCCTGGGATTGTGCTGCCCCTCACCCACACCTCCCTCTCCCCTCCCAACACCTCCAACCCTCACACACCATACCTCCAGCGAAGCATCCTCGCCAGCCACACACAACCCGCCCCGCCTCACGCCCACCTGACCAGCTCGCCGCCATACACGCGCTGGCCCTCGCCCCAGCCATGCACATAGAAGATGTGTGAGCGGTCAGGGATGGGATCCTCGCCCTGCAGCGCCGCATACGGCATGTCCGACCTGTAGGGGAGGGAGGGAGCAGGCAAGGTGCGGCGGCACCGGGGCTGGGCACATTGCTCGCGGTGTAGGGTTGGCGGCGGCCGGCCGGCCTCGTCATCGCATGCCTAGGCTGGCGCCGCTCCTCCACTCCCTGGCAGCAATATCCGCCAGGCTCTGCACGCACCTGCTGATGTTCATGCGCCAGCACAGGTGCCGCACAGCCTCCACCGCCGGCTGCTGCTCCGCGGGCGGCGCCAGGAAGCCGCCGACCCCGGCGCCCGCCGCGTCGGCTTCGTAGAGCCGCATCAGGCAAGCAAAGGCCTGCATGGGGCGAAGAGAGGCAAGGGAGGTCGACACAGGACCACAGCTGGCACGCAATACATACGGCGGGACCGCTCGTCCCACCAACACCGTTGCCTGCCTACCATTCCAGTCCTGCAGCCGGCACATCCCGCTTCATGCAGGCAGGCATGCAGGCGAGCAGACGGGCAGGGAAGCCACACAGTACAGCTGCATGTGTACTGCCTGCGTACCGCTCCCGTCATGTAGGCATCATACCCAGCCTCGTGCGCGAACGCCTCGGTCGCCGCTCCCTGACGGATGCTCGCAAGGGAGGGCACAGGGAGAGGCAGCGGGAGGAGTTAGCCCAGTTGGTCACAGCTTGAGGGGGGGAGGCGCGACCGGTCCGGCAAGACCCTGCCTAGGCCACGCTTCGCAGACCAGGAGAGCGGCAGCCCAGCAGCCCAGCAGCACGGCAGTGGCAGTGCGACAGGATGGCAGGGCGGTCCAGCAGTCCAGCAGTACGCCACCTTGTACCGCTCGAAACCGGCCGCATGCTCCACCAAGGGCAGCTCCGCCGCCTCGCCGTCGCTGCTGCCGCCGCTGGCCGCCACCGACCGCAGCGCGGCCTCCTGCAGGAACGCCTCCACCTGCTCTTCGAGCTGCAGGTCAGGGCGGGCCGAGGGGAGGCGCGTGTTGCACCAGCTAGGCTCGCCCACTGCTCAGAGTTGAAGCATCCGAGCTGGGACAACGGCCAAAGCCGGCAGGCAAGCCGGCCCCAGGGCAGGGCGGCGGCAGGCGCCGCTGACATGGCAAAAGAGCGGAAAGCCGGTGGCGGCAGCTGGCAGCCAGCAGCCAGGCAGCCAAGCCCGGGGCCCGGGGCTTGCCCTTCCTTCCTTGCCTGGCCCTTGAGCATGCCGTCATGGATGAAGCCCAGGCTGGTGTCGGAAAACACATCCGGCAACAGGCCTGCACAGCAGGCAGCACGCCGGCGCTGGTTCGACAGGCGCTCGCAACAGGCTGAATGTCCAGCCCGGCTGAGAGAGCGGTGTCGGCCCCAGCAGGTGCAGGCACATTGTCGATGCCACCGGCGAATGGCGCAGCAGCCACCCATGCCCCAGGCAGGCAGCCTGCCCAGCCACCTCACTCACTGGAAAGAAACTTGGTGTCGTAGACGCCCCCCGGGAACCAGCGCCCCACCAGCTGCTTGTACTCCGCCCAGCTTCCCGGCAGCTCCTGCAGGGATGGTGGCGGGTGGGCGGCAGGTGGGGAGAGGAGGCGAGGGGGTAGGGCAAGCGAGGCTGCGGCAGGGCCCTTCCCGCCCGCCTGCTGTAGGGCGCCGCCTGTGAGCGCAGGCGCCGGACAAGAAGGCGCGGCAGGCGAGGAGGCAGGCAGGCAGCAGGAAACCTTGGGCAGGGCAGCGGGGCCACCTGCGCGTATGAGTGGAGGGAGTAGGAGAGGTCAAAGGCGAGGTTGTGGCCCACGGCGGGCTTGCCGCTGTCGCGCATCGCCTCCATCACCGCCGCAAAGCCTGCGGGAGGGACAGGTGGCCGTCAGGCTGGGCTGGAGTGTGGTTGCGGGGCTGGGGTGGGGGTGAGGGTGGGGGTGCGGTGGGCTGTGTGCGGAGGCCACGAGCAGCGCTGACAAGCCAGAAAGCGAGCTCACCCGCCGCGGTGTGGATGGCCTCGACGCGCTTCTGCCGCTGCTCCGCCTCCCACGCCTCCGCCTCGCCCGGCGCGGCGCGCGTCAGGCGCAGCTGGAAGCCGTTGCCTTCCTCCGCCGCCACCCTCTGCGGCGGCACATACGCGGGACAGGCGGGGAGGGTCCGCTCGCAGTCACCCCATCAGCCCACACCAACCACTAACCCTGCTCCGCCACCCTCACAGTTGACATCGGCCCTCAATCCCCCTACATCGCCACACCACCACACACATCACCAGCGCCAGCGCCAGCCCCTGCTTGCCTCAACATAGAAGCCGGGCGGGTCGGCCACCCCAAACTGCGGCCGCCTCAGCTCCTGGTACTGCAGCAGGCGCTGGTACGAGTTGACAGCTGGCAGTACCAGCTCCAGGTCCTCGCCCTGCAGAGGGAAGGAGGGCACGCGGGTAGGCCAGCAGGTAAGCGGGCAGGCAGGCAAGGGCGCCTCAGGGCGTCAGCAAGCAGCAGCTGGGCTGATCACCCACCCACCCACACCCACCCAACGCCAGCATGCTAGCGCCCGGCCACGCACCTGCAGCCACTCCGCGACCGACGCCACCGTGTCCTTCACAAACGCCACGTCCTCAGCCTTGCGCACCAGCACCTCGGACCGCTCCCGAGGCGGGCGGTCCACAGAGGCCAGGCGGGCATCACGCAGCGCCACTGCGGCAGGGCCAGCAGGGCCAGCCAGCCAGCGGCAGATCAGTTTGCAGCGCATCTACCCGAAAAGCAGGTGCTCGACCACGAGCAGAGCCGCAGGGCGCCACTGTGGTTGAACACATTGCACGAGATGTGTAGCTGGCCCGGCCGTGCTGAGCTGGTGCCATGTGGCGGCCTGCCTGCTGACCTGGCATGTAGCCGATGCCGTCGTAGATGGACTTGTTGAAGTCGAAGCCGCAGGAGGCGAGGAAGTCGATGGAGCTGGCCTGCAGCCAGTTGGGTGGGCAGGGAGGGCAGGGGAGCAGGCAGGGGCTGGTGGCGGCGTCGTGTGTGGAGGGGGCATGTGCTCTTGTGGGGCCAAGTGAGGGCTTGCATGGCGCTGCCGGGTGCGAGGGCTGCGAGGCGCAGCGGCCTACCCCCTGCCCCCTTCAGCCCTCGCCTCCCAGCACAGAGACGGTGGACCCACCTGGCACACAAATCGCTTGTCGATGCCCTCAGAGGGCCTTGGGAAGAGGTGGAAGTTGTAGGTGCGGGCGCGGTAGGCGCCGTCCTCCCACACAAAGGCCGACAGGCCGAACTGGTTGATCACAAAGGCGCGGCTGCTGGCCAGCATCTGCGTGGGTGCAGGTGGGGGCGCGGGCGGCAGCGGCAGGGCAAACATAAGTAATAAGGGTGGGCGGCGGGCGGGCTTTGCTAGACTCAGCGGTGCATGAAGTGAAACGCAGGCTCGGTAACCGCGGAGGCCAGCGAACGCATCCCTGCCTGCCAGCCCGCCTGTGCACCGCAGCTGCACGGTGCAGCACGGCGTGCAGAACATGCGGTACACACCTCACGGTACCGATCCTCCATGTCGTCCAGATAGCTGCCTCGCTGCTCCTCCAGGAACAGCCCCGTCATCTCGCAATCCTGTAATAACAATCGCAACGGTTGTGTTTGCAAAGAATTGGCTGCAGGCAGCAACATGGCAAGCATGACATGTGTCGCATGCAGAAGAATCCAATGGACAAAGCAGGTTGCTCCTAATGAGCCGCCGCCGCCGCTGCCTCCTGCGCCTGCGTCATCGCGGGCCGGAGAGGGCACTCACGATGGCAAAGAACTGGAAAGAAAGGAGAGGAGGAGAGTGAAAGGTGCGCTCAGGGGAGTGGTGCGCACAAGGGGTGGTTCCAGTTCCGCAGCCAGCGGGGAGGGCTGCGGGCGCTGCCAGCGGCGCACTCCAGCCCACCTGGGCAATCTGCCAGCGCCTGCTTCACCAGCC